CTGCTGGGAAAGAGACGCAACAGACATGCATTGCTGAGTAAGACACCGAGGGACATGCACTGCTGGGGGAGAGACTGTGAGAGACTTGGCTGAGAGACGGTGGGCTGGGAGGGAGACTGAGCATTTTTCCTGAACTTGAATTGTAACCTGGTGCTTCCCTAATAAACCTCATAATCTGTGTGGCCACTGCAGCGAATTATCGAATTCAGGAGAAAGGTGGTGGTGCTTTGGGAGGAACAGTTGGTGAAAGGGCTGGAGGGAGGCAGCATGTCTAGCCTTGCAGTGATAGGCTTTGGGCTATTGATGGTGATTCTGCCTTCCTTTTGTGGGGTTCTAGGAGGTCAGAATATGTAGCCTCCTTGCCCTTTTTGCAGTTGTGCTGTTGTTGGGTGAAGTGCTCTGTAGATGTCTATAAAATCAAGTTGGTGGATTGTATTGTTTAGCTCTTCTGCATCTTTGTTGAGTTTCTTTCCAGTTGTTCTATCTTTCATTCAAAGTGGTGTATTAATGTCTCCCACTATGACTTTGGAGTCGTCTATTTGCCTTTTCAACTCTTGTAAAGTCTGATTTGCAAGTGGGGCCTATTCTTAAATCCCTGTGATCTGGGAGAATGTTGTCATTTGAAATATCTAAATGGTCAAGCCGCTTGTAAACATTCAAAATGACTGCGGCCTCCAGACAGAAAAGTCCACACCTCAGCCCACCTTCCTCTCCGCTGCTTCCTTTTTATTCTTCAGCCACCAGAGCAGTCCTCTGTGCAGTCTCTGGCTAGTAAGGCCGATTTTTTGGTTAATTCTTAGGTCCTACCACCATTCGGCAATATCCAAGCTGTCTGTGCCATCAGGATCACTGCCAGACTTCAGTTCCATATGTTTCCTTTTTTGGGGTTTTCAGGCAAATTCTTCTGCTAGTTCAAGTTTAGTCCCCTTCTTTATCCTTCCCTTCGAGGCTCAGGTGTCCAGGATTATCTTCTGTATCTGTGTTAATTGGTTCCCCTTTTCTTTGTTGTGGAGGGTCTGTGTAGTCTTTCTGCCTATTCTGCCCTTTTACTGGAACTCTCCCCCTTCTTTATTTGTGTATGACAGGGTTTCTCGACTTCAGCAGTGCTGACATATTGAGTTAGAGAATTCTTTGATAGGGGTATGTTCTGGGCATTATAGGATGTTAAGCATCATCTGTGACTTCTACCCATTAGATACCAGTAGCACTCTTCAACTGCTGAGCTTAAGTTATGTGCCCATGCTTTAGTTGCTGAGGAGTTGAGAAAGAAAATATTTGTCCACATTATGGCCTAACATGGCTTTCACAGTAAGAAGTGGGACTTTGCTTCCCACTTATCCAAAATTTCCCCTAAAATAAGAAAGCTATTTGGATATTAGATGATCAGAACAGTGTCCCATTGCCAAAAAGGCAGGGAGGCCACATCTTCTGACCTCCTCTAATGCCACAAGAGGAAGACAGAATCACCATCAGTACCCCAAGGTCTATTCCTGAGAGGCCAGGCATGCTGCCTCCTTCCAGCCCTTTCACCAACCTTGACACCAGCCGTTCCTTCCGTAGCACCTGCCACCTCTCTGCTGGGTTCGATAATTCACTGCAGTGGCCACACACAATTCACAGATTATGGGGTTTATTAGGGAAGCAACAGGCTACAGTTGAAGTCCAGGGACACACTCAGTCTCTTACAGCTAGCCATCTCTCAGCTGACAGTCTCTCTCAGTCTCTCTCCCAGCAGTACGTGTCTCAGCAGCACGTGTCTCTCACATCTCCCTCTCAGCAGCACGTCTCGCATCCAGCAAGTACGTGTCTCGCAGGAGCGCGTGTCTCTCAGGAGCACGTTTCTCTTGGCAGCATGTCTTTCTCAGCCAGCAGTCAGAGAGACTCCTTCTGTCTTTTGGAGGGCTCCTGTTGAGCCTGGCAGAGTGGCCAAACTAACCAATCCCAACATCAGAATTCTATACACCTGAGAAAGAGAGAACTTCCCAGAAGATTGCATAGTGCCACTCTAAACAGAAATACCCCAGGTTGATAACTTTAACAGTCAGGAGCTACTCAGTTGCTCACAGCACATTCCACCATGGATTTTACAAAGACTTATGGCTAGAAAAGCCACACTATGTAATTTACTATACCACACCCATATATAATACCAAAAATCTTCTAACATATTTTTCAGTAATTTGGACAATTGTTTTTCCACAACCCTTTATTTAAACAGGAGCTCTGGTGGCGTAGTGCCTAAGGCATTTGACTGATAACCGGAAAGCTGGTGGTTCAGACCCACCAGCAACTCCTTGAAAGGAAGGTTGGGTAATCTACTTCTGCAGTGATACCACCTCAGAAACCCAAGGAGGGGTTGCTATGTGTCAGATCTGACTTGACAGCAGTGTTTTTTTTTGGTTTTTATTTAAACAGCAATGGTTTTATTGATCGCATGGGTTGCTTAAATGTTATATTTATCCAGGAGTAGTTTTGTTGATAGTATGGCTTACTTAAATGTCATCTTTATCAATAGCTTTACTGTTTTAATATATACTTAATATTTAAAAAAATATATATATTTTTTTCCTTTATAGTATTTAGCATTTACATGTGGCTTAATCAGAGGTGGTTTATCAAATTTGGGAATAAAAAGTATTGTAACAGCAGAAGTGTCTTCAATGCCTGCCTGTAAGTAGAATTCAAGTTACTTGTAAATGTTTTTAATGAAAAGTTTCAACTTTTTTGTTTTAATTAGAGGAAATTTAAAATGCTAACACTGTTTCATTTTACTTTTACCAGTTTGACACTTAGTGTACTTATATGTACACTTTCATATTTATATTCAATGATCTTTGAATTCAGAATAGACTGATTTAGAAATCTAAATCCAAATTTATAAGACAACTAAAGCGATAATTCTTAACTTTTAAAGGAAAAGTTTCTGCTGTGTTTAGGAGAAATTTCCCTATAGCAATCAAAATATATTTATAATTTTTAACAACTTTCTAGAATACATCTGTATCAAGTTAGGTAAAGGCAACTCTTAATCTTTTGTCACTGAACTTCCCAAAGATCTTTTCACTGGAGCTACCCAGAATCACTTGAGAGTATTACCTTTCCATTCACAGTGATAATCAGCAATGAAATACTCAAAAGGGAGGCATCACAGAGATGCCAAAGGCATCTACTCACAAACAAGATAATCATGTGCTTTGGAATTTTTATTGAATATTATGAAGAGTATGAAAAGTTATTTGACAACAAGTTTCTTGATTGAAACTGCTTCCTAAATAAAACAGAAAGTTGATCTTTAGACTTTTTCCTTTGTAAGTAAACTAAAAAAAATGATTTAATGTTTTCTTTTTTAGGTAAATTTCAGGTGATGATACAGAAGCTATAGGATATACTGAAATTCAAAACTTCAACAGTATAAAGAGATAAATTATTTATGTATAAAGTATTTCAAGCAGCAATGATTTCATTATATTATTGGAAGTCTGTATTAATGTAAGGTATTTGCTAACTTATAAAGGGTGTACTCTTAAGCAGGAATAGGTTGTATTTTATCAACTTTGTACAAACCAAGTAAAACAGATAAAGGGACATCCCACCGTGACATATACTTTACTGATATAACTCAGAATGAAAACCCACTTTCAAATAACCAGACACCAAGATGTAGGAGCCTTCTTTTAGAGATTTTTGTTTGCTTGTAGTAATATGTATTTAACCTTAGATAGAGAAAACTGAGTGTTGAATTAGCATAAAGAAAAATGTGCACCATCCAGATGATTTGTGTAAGAGTAAACAATAGATTATAGATTTTAGATACTAAAAAAAAGCAAACAGTACCCTAAGTTAAAATTTTATTATATTGCTTATAATTTATTTCTGTTGAGAAAATTTTTATACCTGTATAAGAATGTCTTGTATATATTATGTATATATGGTACGTAATATATGACTGCCTAAGTTGCTTAAAAGCTTAATTTCACTTTAGTGGAATTCAATCCTTGAGAACTCCATTAATGTAATTAAAGTGAAATATAATTAGTTTAAATGTGTGTTTGGGAAGGAATTTTATATTTCTTGTTATAGTCATGACTTTCAGCTTCTCCCCATGCATGGAAATGCTAGTGAAGGTACTTCCATATTTGTTGCCTTACTCAGTCTTCACCAAGGGAAGGGGAGTGGATAATTGGATCGCTCAAAGTTTCATTCCCTGAAGTGTTGTTAAAACCAACTAATAGTTTAGCTTAACTAGTGAAAAATGTCTGCCTTGAGCATTATGCACTTTTAAAACTGTCTATATGGGATCAAAGTGACAACAGCAACTTAAAAGATAGGAACCTTAGAGTACATGTTAATGGAGGAGGAACAACTCCAAAAAGAATGAGAAAGGTTGTACAACTCAAAGAATGTAATCAATGGCACAGAGTTGTACACGCAGAAACAGCAGTTTAGAACATATAGAAAATACCTGAATCATGCTGCTGAATTAACCAACTGGAAGTGCTTACCTTTGGACTTTTGGTTACTTGAGATATTAAATTCCTTATGTTGTTTAATTCACTTTTTGTTGTGTATTTTGTTACTTGTAGCCACGAAGAAATTTCTCTGGTGGAAACAAGGGGGGAGGGAAATTTAGATTATTCAAGAAAATACTAAGGGACCATTGCATATCTTATTTCTGGGGGTGGTAGGGTAGGGGTGTAGAACTTCTTAACCTTTTCTGTGCCAGGGACTCTCTTTTGGCAGTCTCTTGATGCTTACGGACCCCTTCTCAGAATATGGTTTTTAATGCATAAATAAAATACGCAAAGGAACCAATAGTCATGAAATAGTTATCAAAATATTTTTAAAAACAGATGTGATAATATAAACATATACATATAAATCTGATTCTGATCATGAAGACCTCATGTGTGACAAACTAGAACAGCTTCAAAAGATTTTCTTGGGTATAATCTTTCTAGAAATAGATTGCCAGTCCTTTCTTCTGTGGTGCTGCTGGGTGAATTTGAACCACCAACCTTTAGTAGTCGTGTACAAACTGCCTATATCACCTAGGTAAAATACACACACACACACACAAAGCATGCATAGGAAACTAATGCATGAGGTTTGCAAAAAAAAAAAATGTATAACCTGTGTATTATTTGTGTAAAAATGCAGCATATGTTTCTTACCTTAGTACATCAAAACACAACAATACATTCAAAAGGTTAAAATTTGTTTTTAAAAGATATGTTAGGGTGAAGGGTATTATTAATAATGTTTGGCTAAGAACGTTAAACAGTGGGGTACAGGTGTATAGTAGAGCTGACAAGGGGCAAGGTTATGGTCATTACTTGGTCACAGCCAGCTACCCAGAGGGACTGAGTAGTTGATCCTGCGGGCTTGGGA